CATAAAAAATAGGCAAATCTACAAAAAATATCAAAAAAATATTTTACATGAAATAAATTGACCAAAATACCCCCGAAATGCTTTAGAAGTATTTTGATCAATGTTTTTTCGTGAATTATTTTCATTTTATTTTTATTAGGTGCGTCTCACTAAGATGTATACACACTCCAAATTCAGATCATTCCGATTTGTAGAAAAAAATAAAAAATGAAATACTGCCTGACAATCGTGACCGTGTGATGAACTTTGGATGATGATGAGGATAGGCGAAATCACTGGTCATTATCATTTTCGCTCATAGCCACTGAGAAGACTTTATATATATATATATATATGGAAAAAGATTGAAAGCGCAATGTCGTGTATTTGGGTCTCGTGCACCAATGGGTAAGATTTTTCCCATCTAATCGGACGGCTTAAAATCGATGGGTCTAAAATTCAAAGCCACTGCTTCTCTCACTCTATCGCGCTCCCTCTCTCTCTCTCTCTAAGCAACCATCTCTCCCCCTGTTATGATACTCCCCTCTCTCTTTCTGAAGCCGAAACCGTCACTCACTCTATTGCGCTCCCTCTGTCTCTCAAATCATTGGCTGAAACACTGAAATGTGGGTTCGAGAAACATAAAAATCCCTCTCTCTCTCTCTACTGGAGATGAGCAATCGGGCAGCGGATGAAACTGTAAAATCAAGCGGACTTTGCAGCACAAACACGCAATAACTGAGATCTATGGAATTTCCCCCATTTTAGGTATGGAAAATCTTATTGCTTCATCCTCGTTTTTTTTTTTGCAGAGTTAATGAAATGCCATTGTCTCGGTGGATTTTGATATTTTCCCAAACTTTTCGCCATTTCTTGTCTGCATCTATTGTCTCAGTGGATTTTGATGCTTTCATTATCCGCAAGAAATCGTGGATATGAAATGCCAACTTTTGGGGGTTTCGGTTTTACAGACATTGAATGTCTTACACATAGCACTTTTTTTTTCTTTTTGTAGTAAATGATATGAAATGCCAAATATGGAAAAAAATTATGTGACATACGAACAACTTTTGGGGGTTTCAGTTTTATAGACATTGAATGTCTTACACAGAGCACTTTTTTTTTTTTTATTGCTGCTTTTTTTTTTTAAGCTCCTTCATCCATATTGAACATGAAGCATTTTACAGTAAATGAAGCCATTTGATCTTCCTTTATTAATTGATCACAAATTTTTCTTGCTTATGATCTCTACAAATTAATCGATCACAAATTTTGTGGCCACATTTGGGGGTTTCGATTTTTCAGTGTGTGAATGTCTTACATAGAATACTTTTTTATTTTTTGATTGATGTTTTTTTTTAAGCTCCTTCATTCATATTGAACATGAAGCATTTTGTAGTAAATGAAGCCATTTGATCTTCCTTTATTAATCGATCACATATTTTTCTTGCTTATGATATCTACAAATTAATTGATCACAAATTTTGTGGCCACATTTGGGGGTTTTGATTTTTCAGTGGTTGAATGTCTTACACAGAGCAACAAAACTATGATCATAGAAATTTCTTTAGAAATTGGTATCTCACAGAATTTTTGGCCACATTTGGGGGTTTCAGTTTTCCAATGCTTGAATGTCTTTACACAAAGCAATAAAACTATGATTACAGAAATTTCTTTAGAAATTTGTATCTCACAGAATTTTTGGCAACCTTTGGGAGTTTCGGTTTTTCAAGGGTTGAATGTCTTGAACAGAGCAACTAAACTGTTATGGATAACATTTTACCATGGCCATTTCCCTTCTTACTGATGCTTCTTATGGATGCCATTTTATTGATGCTTTCTTATGGATGAGTGATGCCATTTTACTGATGTTTTCTTATGGATGAGTGATGTCATTTACTGATGCTTGCTTATGGATAATTGATGCTTGCTTATGAACTGTACAAATTAATCGATCACAAAATTTGTGGCCACATTTGGGAGTTTCGGTTTTTCAGTGCTTGAATGTCTTACACAGAGCAACTAAATTATGTCCATAGATCTATTTTTTGAGGTTTTTTGGATGAGTAATGCTAGCTTATGGTCTGTAAAATTGTATGAGCTCAAAACCATTTTACAAAATGAATCAGGGCTTTGTTTGTGTTTTTCTTTTATCGTACGAGCCTTGACAAACCTGATTTGGGGGCCTGTGTAACATAATCAGTCTCTCAATAATGAGGCTTGTTTTGGATGAATCATACTTAGTTTGTGGTCTGACAAATTGTGGTCGCAAGAAAAACTCTTTGTGTGAGTTTTTTTTTTTATATTGGTTACTTTCGTATTTGATTATGCTATAAAAGAGAAATTCATTTCCATTGTTTCCATGTTATGAAATTGGGATGCAGGTCTAGACCTTTGAAGTACATAGCATGTCATCAGTTTCCACAAATGCTGGAGGATATCAATGGCGAACCTGTCTACGGTGCAATTTACAATGCAAATTAACTACATCAAGCTCCCGATCTAACCCTAGAAGAATGTACTATCGATGTACAAATTATACTTTTTTTCAATGGTACGATGAATATATGGAAGGAATGAATTACAATATAAACTTGAAACGTCATGATATACACCAAAATTATTGATACTTTAGGGCGTATGCAACAATTTTTAGTTTTCTTGTGTGTAATGAATGCTTTTATGTTTGTATTACTTTTATTGAAAAGTATTTGATATGACTAGATAGTATGTAACAAGTTTACTCTCATAAGATTTGAGTATATAACCAGTTTCAACAATGACTGTTATGAAAGTTATTTGCTTTTTGATTAGTTTTTAATTGTTGGGCATTTTCTTTCAATTTATTTATATTTGGCCATTGGTGCATGTTAGAAGCCAGTCAAGGTTGGGTTTCTGTGTTTGTTTGATCACATATCTTGGTGAATTTTAAATGGCATCTACAGGTGCAACCGAAAAATAGGCACTCGTAATTGATAATACCCACTACTACAGTAACATGCAGAGTCAAACTGCTTGTTTTCTTTCCATTTTATAAGATGTTGGGTACTAGTATTTCCCCCTTGTGCAGTGGCGTGCCAAGCTGACAATGCCACTGATATCAAGTAAGGGCTATAAGACCTCATCAAAGGATGCCCAACGTGGCCCCAATACCAAAGTAAAAGAAAGGAAAGGAAATAGTGTTACCTTTGTCGTTTCCAATCTCACAGCTAATAGGTTCTCATTACATGCAATAGAAGTACTTTCGATTTTACATCCTAACAAAGACTCGGCAATAGGGTCTTGAGAATGTATAACCAAACACGTACGCAATCCCATCTTTGCATAATACTGCAAGTTTGGAGACAACATCAGCCAAATTTGAACACAACCCAACATATATTCAAAGAGAATAAGAGGACTTCAAGGAGACCATAATAGATTTTTAGAGTAGATCTCAAAAAATGGCGTTTATGTTCTCTTTTTCCAAATGGTAAAATGATAAAGCTCAATTTTAATTCTATTTTCCTTCACTATTGTGAAATTTGACTTCACAAATTCACATTCCAAAGGTAAACCATGAAAACAAATCTATATTGAACTAATGAAAGAAATGAACATAAGTGACCCTACATTGATAACTGGGTAGCTTTGCATCATATGTACAATAATCAAAGGAGAAAGAGAGAGAGGAGAGAGAAGAGAGAGAGAGAGAGAGAGAGATACACTTATGCATTCAACAAAAATTGGAGCAAGTTAGTGGATAGAGGCCGGCAGAAGAAAATTCCTTTTTTACTATATCTTGCCAAAGAATGAACACCCACACAATAGATTCCAAAATGCACTTTTTTTTCTTTGTATCACATCGTCATGATTATATTGAAACCTTTGTTTGAGAAGGCTTTAAATATTACAAATCTTATGCTATAAGCTGACCAAAAAAAAATTGCTTCAATATGATGATAGGGATTGAAAATATCCACCTGAGCACAACAAAAACCCAGATGTACAAATGACTCTGAGCACAACAAAAACCCAGATCTACAAATGACTTTACAGTCAAATTATGTTGCTATTGTTGCATTATGTCAGGAGGTCATCGTAGACTGAAAACCATCTCCTTTGTCTTCCCAAAATAAACCTACGATCAAATGGCCAATTTTACACCATTCTAAAGCTATGCATTTTAGTCACTCAGAACATGAGTGGTATCTAAGATCTAAAAAGTTCTAAAACAATGCAAGTTTTAGTAAAACATTTCAAAGATAGTGGCATAATCATAGTTCCTTCCTTTTTTTTTTTATGTCAGTTTTTGTAATATTTGAATGGTTTTCTGTATTCCTTGCAATTGCACGACAATTGAAAAATAAGAGAATACCTGATCGAGTGAGTTTCTCAGGTTGCCCTCCTTTTCTTCTATCATCTGAAACAACAAGATCCAAAATCATCTGTATCGATTGCAAAGAATTAATGACCCAAAAAGGAGAAAAAATTGCTGCTCACATTCTTAACTGATATACACATCAGTTTGGAAAACATAAAATACAAATCACTAGCTATGCATCAATGGCACTTTAAGAGTTTGTAAGATAACTTTCAAAGGAAATCCATTCCACCATTTAAGCATCGCAAGAATAGAAAACCAAGTTATACACGACATGTTGGCTTACTAACATATATTTCTTTGGAAACATATATTTCTTGGAAACATGTAGAATAACTAGATGGAGAGCCCAACCTTGATCATAATAGTTAATTATTGAAAAAGCACAAACACCTAATACAATGAAATTCAAATGACTCTAAAGGGATGAATTAGTACTTTTCACAGACGAATGATGGACAATTTCTTCGGTCATGCCCACTGCCCTGACAAACTGCACATTTCCTAATATTTTCCACTGGTTTTCATCCCTCTGATCGAGCTTTTTTTCTTGCATTTGTTGGCTGTCCCTTTGTCTATGCTCTTGGAGGATCAAGAACTTTAAGACAACTGTAACTTCCATTTGGTGTGTCAATAGAACCAGAAGCTCCGCTCTCATCATTGACATGGGTCATGGTGTCAACCTGTGGACGTCGCTTACAACCGAATTTACCATCAACCTTTATAATATCATTGTGTATTAAAGACATTACAAAATCATGAACCTCCATGCTTTCTGACGCATACTCAGCGAGGTATCGAACAGTCTGCAATAAATTTTTATATCGAATGGAGGGTGGTAGTGCCACTTTCATCAACAAAACAACCCCTCCTTACGTCTTTTGACCAACGCCTCATTATATATGCTGGAGGGATTTCAAAAATATTTTTCATTATAAAAGTCTTCAGCACATGCCTGCAAAGAAGGCCCATCCTCTCATATAAGTGACAATTGCAAGAAGCCTTCTTCTCATGAGCATTGAATTCCATCAAGTATTATCTAGATCTGGTTCCCATATCTGCCACCTCAAAACTGGCAAGCTGTCCATTTTCATCAACTAATTCACTCATTAAATTCATACAATTGGCAACCTCTTCCGCAAATATCTTGAAAATCTTTTGAGTATATATTTTTGATGCCTGTGACTCAAATAAAGAAGTTGTTCTTAATATTAGAGTAGATTGAATGTCTTTTAAGTCGTTTTTCTTCTCTTTTCGTACCTTCTTATTTTGCACCTTTGCACATATTTCCATTAACGTATGTAAGCTAGTTTTGGATGTCAAGTACGTCTTGAAATGCTTATTCATCCCTTCACTTCTTTGGGTAGAAGTCATACCCGCTGTGAACCTGCCAATCAAGTATGCATCCGCCCATTGCATGCGACAACCATAAAGCTTATTTAGCCATTCATTGCTATCCAACTCATATTTTTCAATTATTAATTTCCATTCCAATTCAAATTCTTCTATTGTTGGACTAGCTATACAACTCCTTAAAGTATCTGAAAAGGAAGAATGCATGCGCAAGACATGACATTGTTTTTCTTTAACTTTCAAAAGTATATGCCACTTACAGTAATGATGCTCACTCTTGTCAAAAACTTGTCTCGCTGCGGCTGAAATTGCATGGTCTTGATCAGTGAGAATAACGCCCCGTTGTTGTCTACCCATTGCTTCTAACCAATTTTCAAATACCAAAACAAATGATTCTATCTTCTCATCAAATATGAGTGCAAATCCAAACAAGGTTGTATTGAAGTGGTGATTTACACCAAGTATGGGTGCAAATGACATACTAAAAGTGTTTGTTTTGTATGTGGTTTCAAATATAACCACATCAGAGAAGCATTGATATGAAACTTTCCATGTCACATCTGCCCATAAGATGTTGAGAATGTGGCCGTCTTCATCTAATTTCAATCTATAGAAAAAAGATTGATTCGATTCTTTCATTTTATACAGCCATTGCATAATTAGACTAACATATTCTCATCTTAGTTTTTTTCTAGCACTAGCAATTTCATTCTCGATATCCTTTTGTGTACATGTGACATTCTTGATCCCTCCAGCTTGCTCTATGAATATATCTTGGCTTAATCATGGCCGAAGTCATTGAATTTATCATCAACTTTGTGATACTACTAGATAATGTTCGGTGGCTGCGAATTAAACAAGCTTTCCTTGGACTAACTAGTAAACCTAGTCACGACCCACTTGTTGTTCGCTTTTCTAGTGACTCCTAGTTTAGCCTTACACCCACACCTTGATTCAAGAAGTTTCTCTCCACTAGCTTGATCCTATGCTTTGCGAAATCCTTCTTTAAAGCAAAGAATTTCCCTGTGAATCATTTCACCTTTTTCATTATGGGTAGTTCTCTTACGAACACCAAAACCTTTCGTCAATGCATAAGCCTTGTAGTACTCAATTGCATCTTCCTCTGAAGAAAACTCCATTCCTACACGGGGTATATTTTTTCTAAGAGTTTGGTTGAGGAGTCAGGTTCTCCATCTTGTATTTCTGTGAAATTTCTAGGAGGGGTTGCAAGATAAAGAACCTGCTCCATGAGCTCATTGGTGTCTCTCATTGCACAAGTGGGAGCTGACACACAATCTAAAACAGTGTGATCCATCTAAGTTTTCAAGTAACCCTACATAAAAAGACAAACTATATAAATATATGTATTCAAACCTTTATATAGGCATAATAACATCTCAATATACAAAAGTGGGGGCCAAGCACTATACTTTTTCATAAAACTTACACAGAACCAAAGAATATAGTCCAAGTTTAGAGAGAAATTAAGATAACAGTGACCATAAGAAAGAACTATCCGAAGGGAAGTTGAACAAAAGATAATGATACAAATTAGAAGTGAACCAATCTGAAAAACACTACCAAATTCATTGAAGCATGGATTTTGTAAATGTGTAAGCAACAGATCATCACTTGAGACGTGCTATTCATCAAGTGAAATAACAAATTTAGCTTAGATTACATGATAAAAAAGTGATGATGCATCAAGGCAAAAAGTTATGTTCAATCTCTGAAAAACCAAGACCCCCACATGTGGCAAAGAATTCTTTAATACAAAGTTAACCTTTCATCAAAAAAACATGTAACATAAGTTATAATCAGAAGTTCTTTGCTTTTTTTTCTATTGGAAACAATCTACATTATTGAATATGTGAACTCATAATACTTTTATATTTGTCCAACCTAGCATTTTTTGTTGGAGAGAGTCAAGTCGTAAACATGGATCAACAGCATCATGCCTCATAAATTCTTACAAGCCACATGATCATTATCATAGTAAGTAACACATATACAAGTCATCATCCAACTTGAATAAACAATTACGGATGCTATACTTCAAACTTCAAATGAGAAAGACATGATTCATAAGCAACCATGGTAAATTGGCATTCATAAGCAACCATGGTAAATTGGCATTCATAAGCAACCATGGTAAATTGGCATTCACAAGAAATCGTGTTCCCCATCATTTCCCATAGGATGAAAGAAATATCAAAATGCTTCATGTTCAATATGAGCTTACAAAAAAAAAGCAATAAAAAAAAAAAAAGTTCTCTATGTAAGACATTCAACCACTAAAAAACCGAAACCCCCAAATGTGGCCTCAAAATTTGTGATCGATTAATTTGTAGAGAGCATAAGCAAGAAAAATCGGTGATCGATTAATAAAGGAAGATCAAATGGCTTCATTTACTGCAAAATGCTTCATGTTCAATATGGATGAAGGAGCTTAAAAAAAAATAAAATAAAATAAAATACAATTACTCTGCATAAGACATTCAATGCCTGTAAAACCAAAACCCCCAAAAGTTGTTGGTATCTCACAGAATTTTTGGCCACATTTGGAATTTCATATCATTTACTGTAAAAAAAAAAAAGTACTTTGTGTAAGACATTCAATGTCTGTAAAACCAAAACCCCCAAAAGTTGGCATATTAGATATATAGTTTCTTGCTGATAATGAAAGCATCAAAATCCACTAAGACAATGGATGCAGACAAGAAATAGCGAAAGGTTTAGGGAAATATCAAAATCCACCGAGACAGTGGCATTTCATTAACTTTGCCAAAAAAAAAAAAAGAAGGATGAAGCAGCAAGATTTGCCATACCTGAAATGGGGGAAATTCCACAGATCTCAATTATTGCATGTTTGTGCTGCAAAGTGCGCTTGATTTTACAGTCCCATTCGCTGCCCAGTTCCTCATCCGCAGTAGAGAGAGAGAGAGAGAGAGAGAGAGAGAGAGAGAGAGAGAGAGAGAGAGAAGAAGAG